ATATATATATTTAGTATTGAATGTGTAGAATTAGTTGAAAGACACGCCAGATGAAGCCATTGTATGGCGAAACACGTGTTGCGTTTTTGTAAAACAATTTAGTGAAAATCTCACAATAAAGTGTTTTTGGAATACGTTCTCTATGTGTTGTACTCTTTTTAGATATTATTTGGACTTACTACAAACATTATATAATGTAAGGTAGTCAATAAACTTTCATTCATTCATTCATTCATTTCATTCATTCATTCATCTATGTTCATAAGAGGTTGAGATTGGTGAATTGAAAGATTTTTATCAACATTCATGCTAGACATTTCATAAAAAAAATTTATGCAACAGTCATTGATAATCATCGACTGATAATTATTATTTTTCAATATTCAGCAAAGTGGTGGTGGTGTTGGTGTCAGGCGTGGTTGAAGAACTTGAGCAAGGCAATCAAATTACCCTAAAGCTTCGCGATCTAACCAAAACTGTGCCTTATATGAAATACTGTTGAGAAAATTAGGGATTACAGGTATTTCGCTTCATTAAATAAAAACCTATCTGACAACTGCCAACAACTAGTAGGTAATGTTCATGGTACTCTGTCAAACTTCCAAACTGTCAAAAACAGCTTTCCAAAAGGGTCTGTTTTGGTGGTTCGATTAGATAAGGGTGACAAGAAGAACCATATATCATTATTCGTTCTCAAAACTTTTACATGAAGATAGTTGTTGAATTTTTCTGTAATATTGATATAAGAGTATGACTCTTGCAGAATAATTGATCCATTGGAAGTTACTTTACATCAACATATTTTGAAATTGATATATTTTGGGAACTGTTGAGGTTTCTTACCTGTACGGTTTATCCATTGTTTACATCTTGTAGGATCTTTGACTGGAAAACGGAAAAAAAACTCAAAACTATGGTCATTTCTAGTTGAGAGTCCACATTTGTTGTAGGCACATTTATTGCCAGACATCTGGAAATGATGATAAAATTGTAAAAGAAACAAAAGGCTAACAACTCAATTAGGTGAATTTGCTGATAAAAATAATGTCATTACTCATAAAATTTTCACCAGTTAGTGCACATTCATCACATATTTTGAAATATAAAAATATTTTTCGCAAAATTACCAACACCAACTTGAAAATTAGGTCGCTTGTTTTACAAGGGTACTAGCCTAATACCAAAGAAATTAAAATGACAAATTTAAATGTATGATTTTCCACATTAGGTATGTGGAGAGGGTGCACCAGTAGGTGAGATGTTATATGTCCCAAGATTATTTGGCAAAACAATGGCCATTCAATTTCATTTTGGTGACTGCATTATTTATTCAGGTCGTAAATATCTAAATACCTATTCTCCAAAGTTGCTGCAACATAACCTATAGTGCATCCCTTTCATTTGTTGAATAATTCATTTTGGAAATACATTTGAAGGGATCTGATAACATAAAATTTCAAATATAATTATTGGATACATTTCTACCTTTTTTCGATGTTTTGTCACTACTCACTCACAATTGTTGTCTTATAAAAGTACAAATAACACAAACTAATGACTACTAAAAGCAGAAATAACACAAACTGATTACGAAAAAAACAATTGTGATTCTGATCTCAGAATCACAAAAATTCACTACTAATAACCTCTTATATGTCTATGAATTGCAACGCAAATGAGCACGTCACGAAGACACGGCCTGTCAGAAACATAAAAATGATCATTTAAAACTTTTCATTAGGACACTTTCCATCTGAATCTTTTATCTCTTTTTTGGAGACCACGGTATTGGCGCCATCTACTTTTCGTTTCCATCGTCCTCCAATGATAACTCCATAAGATTGACTGACTATAAATCTATAGACAATTATGTTAGTGAACTGTAATACATTAAACTAGATCAGTAAGTAGTAAATATTTGGTCCAGAAACTGAAAAACGACATTTCTGAAAATGAAGAAAGTCGATTTCACTATCATCACCGCTACAACTTCATTGAAAGAATTTATACATTACGATTCACATTTTTCAAATGCTCCGAAACATATTCTCAATCTGAGATATCTTCATGACAAAACAATTGGGAAACTTTATCCAAACTCTACTTCAGCCTTGTAATTTTGTTAACTCAACCTCTTTCTTTTTCAAAGGATCTCATCATTCAACCCGTACGTGAAGCTCTAGATTATTATAGAAGACTTAATGAAGCAACGAGGGAGGAAAGACTGCATCGTAAAAGTATCGTAGAATTAGTCGATCATCAAAATACTCCATCATCTCAAAGTCCAGATAGCGGAGCGTCAGTGCCAAAATCGAATTCCACCCTCAACATCAAAATGAAGAAGAGTTTGAGTTTCCAACAGACTCGGTCCAGGTGATTATCATTTTCCTTGAATATTTGCATGATTTGCGAACACTGAAAAACTTCAATCTCTTCTGACTGCTCGGGATGGTGTTTTAACATTTTAAGTCTCATCGTGTTATGTTGCCCTTGACAATAAAAGTACTGGAAACTACCACATGTGTAGTCATGTTCTCAATCCAACTTTGCATCTAAATTGATATAGTGGATTAACCATTAGACCAATAATTGATAACCAACGTGGTACCAGATCTTTCAACAGTCTCCATTTCTAATCACACTCATCAGGAAATAATTCATCGCTATGCTGACTAGAGGATTTTTCAAAAAACAAGGTGAATGTTCAAATTTCGCGGGTTACATATATTTGATTGGTGTTTTTTTATGTTGGTAAGGTTAGGTTAGGTTAGGTACCCCGCTCTTGAGGAGACGACTAAGTCGTTTCCTCGTTTCCACCAATTTTTTTTGTTTCAGTTATTTGATCAAGAGTTGGAGAGTTGAGAAGCTCTCGCTCCTGACAGGTGAGTTGGAGTCGTGAGCTCGACATCCATCTCCTCTAGATTCAGCGTCAGAAATAATTTTTAAGTTTACTCTGCCCATAAAAGTCCCACGAGTAGCTAGGGAAAGAGGGCCAATCACGGCAGTGCCCCGCATTACCGTGACAAGGCGATGCTACGACGAGAGGGTGCCCGGTATTTCGAAGGTTCCGTAGAGACAGCTGATAGGCTCAGTGTCATTCATCCTCTTGGCACGGATACACACCTTAGGATCAAGTCATCGTTGGAATGGCATTTAGTTAGGGAATAACAGAACCACAAGTGATTTTGTCATTCCCGTATCCAGCGGGGCTACGTGGAAGCAGGCATCCGATGGCCGGATTGCTCAACCCCCACACCCTAAGGCAATGCACTCGCAAAGGCAGCAGGCACAGGGGTCAGGCAGTGAAAGATGAACAAGGACAGCCAACCGCCTTCATGTTGGTACACTTGTCTCAAACATATGTTCACAGTCTCAGCCCTCTAACGTGTTTAGTTTGTTGCTGAGAGACATAAAGGTTATAAGTGTTTTGTGTGTTCGACGATTTCCTGCTATCGAAAAAAATGATTAAATTTTGTGCAAAGATGAAATTGAGTGCTGATGAGCACTTGCAATATTGACAGTGGCATACGGTGACTGTACTCTGAGTTAGAAACATGCTCACAAGCAAGTGGTACAAGATCTTCACGGAAGGTCGAGAAGATTTGAATGATGCTCTGGATGCCCCATAATATCAACAACTGATGAAAATGTTGAAAAAATGATTACACTTTTCATGGAGAATCACCATAAGAGAGACTGCTGGGGATGTCGGCATATCATTGGCTTATGCTATGCAATTTTTTCGTATATTTCGGGCATGAAGCGTGTGGCAGCGAAGTTCGTTGCGAAATTGCTGAATTTTGAGCAAAAAACCGTTACTTTAGCATCGCTCAGGAATTCTTGAATGACGTCAACGAGGAATCAGAGTTGCTCAAAGGGGTCATTACTAGTGACAGATCATAGGTTTATGATTATGACAAAATCTAATCGTTCCAATCGAGCCTAGGCAGAGCCAATACTAAAAAATGCACGCCAAGTTCGATCAAATGTCAAGATTTTGCTCACTGTTTACATCGATTATCGTGGCATAGTGCATCATGAATTTCTGCCACATGGTCGTAGTGTCACTAAGGAGTATTATCTTGAAGTTATGTCTCGCTTGCGGGAACGATACGAAGAAAACGTCCGGTATCGTGGATGAAGAATTCATAGCATTTGCTCAACGATAATGTACTTGCTCACTCGTCATTGCTCGCTCGTAATCTTTTGGATAAAAACAATACCGTAATCATGCCTCAGCCACCATGTTTACCAGATTTGGCCCCCTGCGACTTTTTTCTGTTCCCAATATTGGAAAGGAAGGCGTTTATATCTGAGGGGGACTACTTTAAAGGAGACAAAATAGAAATTGAGGAATGAATGAATATGTTTTTAATAAAATGAAAAAACACCTTATTTTTTCAACAAGAACCATATTAACTATCATTCGCAAAGTTCACACAGTAACCATGCAAATATTGAGTTCTTCCGACTGCAAACAGTTTTAGTTTAGGTGGTTTGTTGAAAAACCTTTTTAGAAATTGAACTCTGGCGGAAAATTAATTTATTGAAAATAGTTTTTGTATACCAGAACATATATATTGTCCCTCAACATGCGTTGCGCTAACCAAGTTAGCATAATCAAAAGATCACTAAAACTGGTTTTTCAGGTATATATTCAGTTCCATTGGCCTCGAAATTATTCGAACTAAATCGGTGAAATTGTATCCTCTGGCGTGAGATGGATCTTCTGAATTTTTTTTCCGTTTCAGAAGAAAAATACTTCTCTAGACGCGCAGCTCGCTTCCCAAGTCAGCATCAACAGAAGATGACTGTAATTGGTTTCTACGGTGGATATTGTTGACCTGAAACCCATCCTAACTCGAAAGAACTAATTCGTTTTTAAAAGATTCAATCCATGACAAATGTTCCAGTTCAACTTATCAAGATTCAACAATTACAGGAAAAAACCTCATCTTTTGTGAAGAATGCAAAGCATTTCGTCGAATTACTAGAGGCAATTGAAGTCACAGAGCAATATCAATTAATCAGTTCCGACTTGGAAAGCCTTTACACCAACGTTTCTGTTGAAGCAGCACTTCAAATCATACAGAGAAAGCTATCCAAAGACGAGGACCTGGAAGATAAAACGAACGCACCTGTAGAAGTAATCATGGACTTATTAGGATGCTGTGTACGATTCTGCTACTTCCAACTGAAGAACAAATTCTTTACGCCAATGAGGGACTGCCAATGGAATCGTCACTTCCACCAGTTATAGCCAACATGTATATGGAGTGGTTTGAAACTCTGGCCATTGAAGAAGCCCACAAGAAGCCCCGAATCTGGTTGAGATGCGTTGACGACACCTTCATAGTATGGAAGCATGGGAATACAGATCTAGACACCTTTCCAGAGCACGTCAACATTGTGAAACCTTCCATCACTTTAACAATGGATTAGGAAGGCATAACAAATTGCTATTTTCAGATGTATAGAGGGAACAGACGCTAAGTGAGAAACATATGTATACTCACACAAATCTAACCACCATCAATCTAGCAGAAGAGGAATAATAAAGACTCTTGTGGATCGTATTTTTGGGCTCTATAATACAAACGAAGGTGTCGTGGTGTTATCAGGTGTTGGTTACTCTAAAATGATGGTGGAACAGACAAGAGCCTCGCAAGGAAGCAAAGCAATTACAACCACTGTTTGCCCTTCACTCCGTCAGATAATTGTCAAAAAATAAAGAAGAATTGGGTCCAAGTACAACATCAGAATCTGCTTCAGATACGGAAGCACCATCCGTAGCAGCCTCACAAAATCAAAGCCATCAAAGGCGGACTTCGGTTCCAAAAATTACATTAACTGGATACCCTGTGAGTGCGGCAAATCCTATATCGGTGAAACTAAAATACCATTTAAAGTCCGCATTGCCGAGCACAAGAGAATCGGAAATAGCAGAGCATGTTTGGACTCATCACCATAACATGAAGTGGTTCTAAGCTGAGATCACTGGTTTAAGATGAAGTTCAAAGAAGCTGCAAATATTTTGTCCAACGACGATTTCAGCCAAGAGTAAAGATATGCAACATATGGGAAACTGTAATCAAGCGGCAACGGACAACTTCCGCTAAACCCGTGAAACGGAGAGAGGAAAGACGGGATAGGTGAAAGCGCTTGAATAACCTATAAATAGTTATCTCTCAGAGGAATAATCCAGTCACCACCCAAAGATGATTGTGGATACTAACAATTGAAACGGCGGAAAATTATTCAATTCTTTCAGTTTTCTATTTTTTGTTTTCTTAATATTTAATTTTTTTTTCATTTTTGGTTTATTTTTTATTTTCTTCTATTTTTGTACTCTGTGGTCATTTTCATCTTTCATCTTGAATATTTTATTCAATTCGTTTCATTGTATTTTCATTTCACTTTTCATTGCTTGCATATAATTGATATATTAGTTCTATTCATTCTATTTGATTTATTCTTTTTTAGTTCTTTCAGAGATTTCAAATTATTTTATATAATATCAGACAATGGAAGTCGAACCAATGAAATTCACTAATTTCATTTGTTTTTTCATACATTTCGAATCATTTCATAATCGTATTAGACAACGGAAATCTGAACTAGTCGGATTCAATATTAGACGTATTCCAACTATACCGTAAAATCTACTTTTATCAATTTTCTGATGATGGTAACTTTGATGGCGAAACACGAGTCAGAAAATAGTTATTTTGTTCTGGGGTGAAATGTTGGGATATCTTCCAGATCCACGGAACCGCATTTATATCGTAAAAACCAGTTTAAGTTATCTGCTGATTAAACTAACTTGGTTTCCGAAACACTTCGGGCGTCATAATACTGTATTGTGACGCCTCTTCAGGCGTCAGTATTGTGACACCAATACGTTAAGAAATCATTATAAACTATAAAATATAATGTCGATTAAAATTAATGATTATTGCATCATTAATTTCACGTTGACGCAGAACTTCTTCCAAGTCCCCCGGCTTCTCAGTTCCTAAATCTCTCTGGAACACCAACCTATTGTTTGCATCCAGAACAAAACGGAGTTTTTCGCAAAAGCTATTCAATGCAGCATTTTCTATTTTTTGAGCTCTTCGCATTTATGTGCCTTTGGAAATCCGCTAAATTTCCCAGCGGTAGTGCTGAAGCATGTCGTGTCGAGAAATTTGCACTGTCATTCACGTTTGACGGTCACAATTCGAGTGGAATATTAATTTTGAAGGAACAATTACGGAATTTTTATTAGTTAAACGTACGCATTGTACTTAAATTCATTCATTCAATTTTGATTGCACTGAATTACAAGCGATTTCGAATCTATTCAATAAAGAACCTCAGTATTTGAATTGAAATGGATTTAGTTTTAGGAGCGATCAATTTTTGAAGAAGGAAAGTTTTGTCTTTTCACTTCTCCAGCTTTATACAAGAAAATTTAGGAACATTCCACGAAAAAAACAATTAATATCAAAATAAACTCTCAACAAAGATGTGTAGATCATGAAAAGAAGTAACATTCAGACAGAAACTGGAAGAAGAAGCACTCTCCAAACAACCACTTTCATGTAAACATTAAATAACACGAAAGAAAAATACTTTCGAAACAACTAGTTTCATATGATGATTGAATTACACAAAAAACACTCTTTCCTATTCTGCTTGTGCTCCAAACATGCGTTATGGAATTGAATCAGATATCCACAGAATTGTTACACAATACAGTGTGTCTCACTTCTCATGGAAACACCCCCGTATCTTCCGTAATATTCGAAGTGGAACGTTGAAACTCTCAGCACTGATGGAAATGAATGGGGTTGGCCAAAGTGATATTCACTGTTCGCCACTCGCGATGGAACACCCCATTTTTAGGTAAAACATATTACGGCGCAAAATAGTTCGCTTCCAATACCTGAACCCCTTCATTCTAGAGAGTACTCTCAGGTATGAAAGATACAGATGCTGTGAGATGCTATCATCCATTTTGAGCCTATCTGGGAAAATGTCACAGCACCACATTCTCAGATTATCGAGATAGTGTGAAGGAGTGTATGAAAAATTATCAATGGCGGCATCTATTATAACTGAAGAAGATTATTCGTAAAAATAATTCTGGTTGCTGAACATCCAAATTCTATCCCAACCAGAAGTGAGAGCTATCGATTGATGAGCAAAAACTGCAGATAATGGAAAAAATCTATATTCAAAGGTTCACATCTCGAAAACTTTACAATTCAGAGCTTTGGCTGTGGACACTTTCAATCCTCACATCAAGAACTACAACATATCAAAATTTCGGCAAAATTCAAGGCAAGCCATTTCTCACAAGGAATGTGCGGGGTCCTTTATCAAAATATTGAGGAAACATTTTACCATCAAAAACAAAATTAATCTTCATATCCATTGCAACACCGAAACAACTGTTAATTTTTAAAGAAAAAATCGCACTCGGTGAACAGGTAGAATTTAGATTATTTCACCTACTTCCTGAATTGTTGTCTGAAATCATTTGAAGGGATTGAATTACATCAATTTCATTGAATCATGCGGTGCCCTGAAATCACCATGGAAAACAGTTGCTCATTGATATTTACTGTCAATCTGACAATATTGTTGAAACATCTTGTTGTATTAACCCCCAGACCAGTTTTCATTGCATTTGTTGTTTGTAGTATTGTTGTTCTTTGAATCATCGTTGTTCCTGTTGTTTCTGTCGTGTTTTTATTCCCATTGTGTTTATTGTTCCTGTATTTGTGTTGGTTATTGTTCCTGTGTTCCAGTTGTTTTTTGTTCGTGAGTTCCTGTTCATATTTTAATATTTCTGAAGTTCCCATTTTAACTGATATCAGCTCATTTCGATTGACAAAGTTCATTATGGCACGTCTGTCACTTCAAGCAAAAATTGAAATTTTTTAATTGTTGGTGAATGGGTGAGGTCTTATCGTGAAGCGGCCGCTGAATTAAATATAAGACACCCGCTAGAGGTAGCTGTACACCCTAGAACTGTACTATTATACAAGCGTGTAGAGAAATCACACCTAGAGAACTGAGAAGAGTTGGAGGAAATAATAGAAGGCGCATAGAAAAATGTGTTCGATTGGAGGATAATTTCATAGAAGGCACGAAAATATAAAATTGTCAACAGTTAAATCATATGAAATTGATTGTTTTGTTTTTCAATTGAAAATGTGATTTTGAAAGTAGTACTTCGAAAGAATTTTGAACTACAGAACATTTTTCGCCACAAAATATCCTTGCTTTGTTTAAATAATGGCAAAATGAGAACTAAAATGAACTAACATTAACCATCCTAAAACCTCACCGATTACATGTTTCCGGTCCTCTCACAAAATTACCATTTTCTCTCTTATTGAGAAGGATTAACTTTCCTGACAACAAAATAAAAAATAAATTATTAATGTGAAAACAAAAGTCGAGTTTCTCTTCAACAATTTCGTTCATGTTTTGATGTCAAAACCAAAAAAAAATCTACTTCAATTATTACGGAAGATACGGGGGTGTTTCCATTACGAATAGTCCTCTCGGTAGACGATTATGGCGACCATACGAGTGAAATGCGCGAAGGACGCTCTACACTGCCTGAACAGAACACCCAATTTGACTTTTGTTTGGAGGTGATTGACAATGTTTCGTGATGAATTTCATTAGTTAGGACTTCCATTAACTGATATTATATAAAATGATTTGAAATCCCTGAGAGAACTAATGAAAAAAAAGAATTAAAAATGAGAAGCTGAAAATAAGAATTATATTGAGCAAACAAACCTGAAACGAAGTAATAGTGAAATGAAATATAAGTAAATATAAAACAATTGAACAAAAAATATAATAAAAAGTTACGAGATTTCAAGCCAAGTTACTTCACGACGTTTCGATTGTTAGTATACACAATCGGCTTCGGGTGATGACTGGACTAATTTTTCCGGGATATGACTATTTATGGGATATGACTTTTCAATTTCCTCCTGAACGTGGTTCCTTCCTGTGTATGATCTCAGCTTGGGACTACTCGATGTTATATTGATGGGTCCAAACATGTTCTGCTATTCCTGATTTGCTGGTTCACTCTCACTGTGTGTGTTGATTGTTCTCAGCAAGGCGAACATTCAATGACCTTTTAGTTTCACCGATATAGGACTTTTTGCACTCACAGGGTATCCGGTACATGCAATTCTTGGAATCGCAGTTCGCGTTTGGTGGCCTGGTTTTTGTGAGGCTGCTAGAGATAGTGTTCCCGGATCTGAAGCAGGTTCTGGTGTTGTACTTGGACCCAATTCTTCTTATCCCTTCGAATAATCCTCTGATGTAGAGAAGTGCAAGCACTGGTTGTGACGGCTTCTTTTCCTTGCGAGGCTCCCGCTGTCTTTAAGCCAAAGTCTGTTCCACCATCGATTTGGAGTGTATCCATTCCGTTGAAGATAATTTTTGATGATGTCTAGTTCCTTCTCGAAACCTTCCTTCGTATTACATAGACCAAAAGTACGTTCTGAAGCACAGTCATGGCCAACATAAATATGGAGTGGTTTGAAACTCTGGCCATTGAAGAAGCCTACAAGTATCCTCGTGTCTGTTTGAGATTCGTTAATGACACCTTCATAGTATGGAACTATGAGAATACTGAACTAGACGCGTTCGTGAAACACATCAACAGCTTAAAACCTTCCATCACTTCCATAATGGAGAAGGAAGTCCACAACGAATTGCCATTCTTAGACGTATTGGTGAAGAGGAGTGATACTAAGTGGAAAACATCTGTATACCAGAATTTCACTCACACGGGACAGTATCTGAACCAGGAATCCAACCACCATCAATCGACTAAAAGAGGAATCATCAAGACTCTATGAGACCGTGTTATCGGTCTCTGCAACACGAAGACACGTCTCGAGAAGGAACTAGACATCATCAAAAATGATCTTCAATGGAATGGCTAATACTCGAAAGAGGTGGTGGAATAGACTTTGGCTAAAAGACAGCAGGAGCCTCTCAAGAAAAAGAAGCCGTCACAACCAGTGCTTGCACTCTCCTACATTAGAGGATCATCGGAAAGGATAAGAAGAAGTGGGTTCAAGTACAAATATCCGTAGCAGTTCCAATAATTGCATTCACTGGATACCTTGTGAGTGCGGAAAATCCTTTATCGGGGAAACTAAGAGGCCATTCAATGTTCGCATTGCCGAGCAGAAGAAACACACACAGCAAGGGGATCCAGCAAATCAGGAATAGCAGAGCATGTTTGGACCCATCAACATAACATCGAGTGGTCCCAAGCTGAGATCATTCACAGTGAGGAACATTGGTTTATGAGGAAATTCAAAGAAGCCGCATACATGTTGTCCAACAATGTATTCAGCCAAGCTAGCGTAGAGATACGCAACATATGGAAACCCATAATCAAGCGAAAAATGGCCAACTTCCGCTAAACGGTCATCTCCAACTAAACTGGTGTAGTGGAAAAAGGAAAGCGGTGATGAATGAAAGTATTCGAATGGTCCATAAATAGTCAACTCTCTGTAATATTCATATTAAATTGTACTAGACAATGTAAGTCTGAACTGATGAAATTCACCGTGAAACATTGTCAACCACCTTCAAACAAACAATGATAGATATGGTGATAGAGCGTTCAGTAAAATAAGTGGTCAAACCCAAAACACCCAAAATAGTTCTTGCCTACCTGTGAAATCAATAAAAATTCAGGCCTCCCAAGTAACTTTCTATTTTTTTTTCTGTCTAGATCCCGTTCAACAGACGAGGACTCAACAGATCCTGACGTCGTCTCTGTTATCGATGAAGGCCAGAGTCTCGAAGATGTCCAAGAAGCCCCGGAAAGTACGGACTCGGAAAATTCAGAAACAGCCAATGAAGTCGAAGTCTCCGAGAGAGCTCTCAAATTTAAAATATCCACAGAGAGCAGCATATCGGCAACGGGTAGGAAAAGCTATCCCGGATCGAGGAAAGGTAGCAGAGAAAGAGTACAACACCTGAATCATTCCGAGATCGCGAGGATGGTCCAGAAAGGAAAGCTGAGATGTGGTGGCTTGAGTTTCGATCAACACTGCCTGGTTGGCAACAAAAAACTATCATTCGACCCGCCGGAGTTTTTAGACGAGTACGCTTTGACGCTGAAGAAGAAATTCGAAGAGGGACTCGCCAATCAGGCAGGTAATGGAGAAAACTACGAGAACAGCCATGGCGGGGAATACATCCTCTCCAAAGAAACCCTCAATCTCAACAAGAAAAACTCCGAACACTCTACGAAGATTCCATCTATCGCCGAAGAGAAAAAGAGCATTCTGAAATGTAGTGACAACAAAAGTTTCACGAACGCAGAAAAATTGAAGATGAATAACAGCCTGCAGCTTGACGAAGACTCCGACTCGTTATCCAAGGAAGAAGGGCTGGTGTGTCCTAATAATACGCGGGAAAACAGTATTAAAAATTGTACGGGACAGTCAGTGGGTAAAACAAGTGATAGTTCAAACAGTATTCATGTGCAGAACGACGGAGTGCCGGGCGAAGCGAAATCTAACCGGTCGATTTTCTCGCGGTTCCGCCAGTTCACGGACCGATTCGGCTTGTCGACTGACAAGGTGAAAGCTAAAAATAACAATTGCGCCACGCACAAAGGTAAGAAAAAAACTGTCGGTAAGGCTTGTTGTAAAAGTCTCGAGGAAGTAGATACTAGGAGAACCAGTACTCTTCCGAAGACCAAGGGATCTAATAAGAAAAGCTGGAAATCTCTTCTAGGAAAGGACAAGGGTAGATTAGACAAGGGTTGGGCGTCCGATGCGGCAGTGGACGAGCTGGATCAGAACGCAGACCTGGAAAATCAATCTCTTCCGTCTACTTCTCAGATCCAGAGCAACTGTGCGAGCCCCAACTTCGGTAATGTCAAGGATGGAGGAACGCCGCCGAGGAAAAAGGGGTCCTCTGATCAGTTCCGAGGCGATTCCCTTGGAAACGATATCGACGTGGTGGACAAATGTATCGCCAAACTGAACGAAATCAAAAGAGAGGAGGTGATGCTTTCGGCGGAAAAAGACTTGAATTTGATATGACAAGACGTTAACCCTCCTGAAAGGGAATGTTTCACCAGATATATTTTCTGTCGTTGTTGTAAATATAAATCAATTCATAGAGAAAATGTGTAGGCGAGGTCCCGTCGCACTCTGTCAATTCAACGCTTTCAACTTATGAAATGGGTTTTATCGGAAATTTTTTTGATGTTTGGGGTTCTCTCACAATAACTTTGATATTTCTCAGAAGTGAAAAATATTACTGTTGGAACAGACTGGAGGAATTCGGACACTGACAGCTTGAAAATAAATCGGATAACGATAGTTTTGATCGAAGTTTTTTGTTCAAAATCAATATATGTTCTTTCCGAACGACATCCGAAGAAAATATTTTGAATCCATACATTTATACCTCCATATTAGTCAATATGGATTTTATAGTCAGTTGACTAGTTCGGTGATCGAATAATTTTTCTGAAGAAAAATTAGTTGGATGACAGGATCAATTTCTCTTAAAAAAACAATTGTTTTTTTGCCGACGTTTCGAATTTGATCAAATTATCCTTCGGGGCTCTGTAACAATGAATTTTCATGAACATATCTCTCACAAAACTCATACGATTATTATCATTTCAATTTTACAAAAAAAATGATAATTCAATTAGAAATTCATTATAAAAAAATGTTTAATGTCTAAATAGGAATAAATCCCAATAACAAGACATATTAAAATTATTAACAAGCATGTTACAGTTTATATCTGCCTATATACACACAATACACATACATATATACATACATACAAACACATATACATGAATACATTACTAATTTATCAACTAGAAACACCTGAAGAGCTAACAAGTAAAAACATAGTTCAGGTGTATTACAAAAAAAACAGAATTCAGCAGTAATACAGTAGCAGTAATAAGCTCACATGGTAGAATAACTTTCAATTTGGGCTCATGTATTTTGACTAGAGTGTAAAAGTTTCTTAACGTGGTTCTTAACGTGACCAGTGGGCTCATAATAAATGTCGAGATTTTCACAGAGATGATTGTCAAGTTTGCTCATTGCAACAACTGGTGACTTGAGTAATATGTTTGTTCTAGAATTTGGTAGATGAAAAGTCTGTTAATTTCTAGAATTGATTCGTGGAACATGAAAGTTGAAGTGGGAGAGTAGTTCGGGACAGTCAGTCAGATTATTCACTAGTTTATAAATGAAAATTATAGAGTAGTAGGTTCTTCGGCTTTGAAGGGATAATAAATTGAATTTATTCAGTAGTATTCTGTTGTCGGTGCCTTGTTCAGGATAAACTCCTTCTAGCTTGTAAGTAATATATTTCATGAAGCCTCTTCATGATTTTGTTTATGTGGACATTGTATATGGTTGACCATTTAAGGTAGGCATATTCCAGCCGAGATTTGACGTATGCCTTGAAAAGAGTTAAAAAACTGTCTCTGTTACGAAAGTTCTTAGTTACGATAAATGAGCCCTAGCTTCCGTTTGGCTGAGCATGTTATTGTGTCATAGTAGATGGAGAAACTCAGTTTAGGGTCGAATGTGACACCAAGATTCCTTTGATGAGTTAATATTTGAAGAGGTGTGTTATTTATGAACCAATCATGAGAAATACCTTTATGTTTAAGGGTGTATTTTGAGTATTTGATATAATGAATAATTTGATAATAATAATGAACATTTTTTAAAGAATTCATCATTTCTCGTAAAATTGAAACGGTAATAATCGTATCAGTTTTGTGGGGGGTATGTTTATAAAAATTCATTGTTACAGAGCTCTGAACAAGAATTTAATTAAATTCGAAACGTCGGTTGAAAAAATTGATCCAGTTACCCTACCAACCTTTTTTCATGAAACGTTTTCATTAATTTTTATTCAAATGACGTTCCAGATGATAAATATACAGGGTATTCCATATTCGATGGTCTACTAGACGTATCTAGAGAACAAAAA